TGCAAGACCCCCAACATTCCATCATCTCTTCCATGTTAAAGCCTGTTGCTCTTATGTAACAGATCTTTATGCCATGTTTGTTCCTGTGTGGGGCTAATTCTGTTGTATCTGAGGCATGCGATGTTGTACATATGTTGCTGCTACCAGCAATAAATAATAATAAGAGTTCCCTGTTTATAGTTACTGTAAAACAATAACACTATTTAGATAAAGGAGAAAGCCTCTAAAGGTTTGCTCTCATTCAATGACTAAATTTATACAAGAACCACAAATCACTTTCTGGTAGTAATAATTTAGGTTTGCAAATTAGAGAATAAGCCCTAAATGACTGCCATCTTACCCCAAAAAATTCTGATGTGGAATACCAGAACCTTCTTAACATCTGACGTGCAATCCTAGAACCTTCTTCTCTTTTTTTTTTTGGTCTCCATCAAGTAAGTCAATATGTTCAGCTGATGAAGGGACAAGATCATCTCGATCAAAACACAGATGATAAATTCTTGAGCACTTGATTAGTAGCTTGGGTTTCTTTTATTATATGATAAATATAATATTATAAATAAATTTTTAAATAAAAAAAATAATGATATTATAAATTTATAATATTTTATGTATATATTAAACTCTCTATTTACACTCTTTACATTATTTTTTTAATAATGAACACACTAATAATTTTTATTTTTTATCAACTCCTTTCCTAATTTAAAATTCTAAAAAACTAGGAAATTATCAATCATATTTTCTTTTTGTATCTCAACTTTGTAGGTAATCTGGGGTCTTTGTGGATTTTAAATCATAAAGAATGTTGATTAAAAGTGAAATTTTTTTAAAAAAATGTTAATTATGAAAAAAAAAAATAATGTACATAATACAAATAAAGAATTTGAGTTATTATATAATATTAAAATTATAATAAAAAATATATATATTAGTCTTCACTTCCAAAAAAATTAAAGTTTTAATCTTAAACTATATCATTTTAATAATAAAATTCAATTTAAAATTTAAAAATTTACTTTATTAAATATTAATATTTAAATTTAAAAATTAATAAAAATTTTAATTAAAATTTTAATTTTTAAAAAAAAATAAAACTAACACGTGCTAATCTTTAGTTATAATATCTTTGTCTAAAAAAACATTGTTTTAAACAAAGAGAATTATAAGGGAAAAAAGAAAATGAGCCAACCTATGAACGGAAGAAGCCCTAATTATCCATAAATCAAATATAAATATTCAATTAGTTAATAAGAATTAAACTCTTAATTAACTTTAATTTTTTAATTAAATCTAATTAAATATTAAAATTTAAAAATAAACTATTAGATCCGATGAGTGTATCCATCCACCTAGCTGTTGGAATCTAGGAAGATGTAAAAATGAGAAAGAGGGCGTAAAGAAGTAAGCAGAGGAGCAGCACAAAACACGAAGATAAAGTGAGGTAAATAAATACTACTACTACTACTGTATGTTTCGTTTAACAAGATGAAGTTGGATCAGATCAGCCTTAATGAGATTGGAATTGGGTAGTGCAAATGGTTAATTTGATTGGATGGTCATGCAGAGACACACACACAACACACTGTGTGTTTTACGAAATTTCAATATATTTTGGTGAGTGTTTCAGCTACTCTTCTGTTTCTGTTCCCTCTCCCCTCTTATCTCCGGATTTTGCGCCGATAACCACTGTTTTGTCGGATCTGTTACGACGTCCATGCTTCAAACTTCTGCTATATATATATATATAGAGTACTATATTGATAATATTTTTATTATTTTTTATATAATTTTTATATATTATTAAATAAATATATATTGTTAATATTATAAAATTTATATAAATAAAAAAATTAATCATATAAATGATATATCAAATGTACAAAAAAAAAAGTGAAACAAAAAGATGATTTTAAAATGATTTCTTTATTATATATAAAGAAATAATTTTACGATAATTATTTTATATTATTTTTTATATAATTTGACATATCAATTAAATAATTTATTTATTTAATTTACGTGAGATTCATAATATTAAATACATTCACTCATTTAATGATATGTAAAAATTTTATTAAAAAATTATATAAAAAAATTATATTTATAAAACTGCCATCTACATATATATATTTATTTATTTATTTATTTTCATCGGTAACATTTACTCTTTTTTTTACAAAAATAATAATTAAAAATTAAAAATTAAAAATTAATACCTTACTTTTTAATAAAATTCGATTGCTGATCGAGATAGATTCCATTTATAACCCTTTTAAACTGCAGTGATATTACTGTGCCACAGGGGAATGCACCCGTAACATTTACTCGGATCCTTTGAATTTGGATGAAAAAATAAAATCTGAGAAAAGCGTGGGCCAATATCCCTACGTCAACATTTACAAGCAAAATTAATGTAAATGCTTCCCTCCCCTTTCTATTTATTTATTTATAATGGATAATGATAAATGAGAATTAAATTTGAAATTAAAATTTAAAATTAATAATATGATATAAGTAATATTATTTAAAATATTAAAATATAATTTTAATTTATTTAATAATTAATTTTTTT